ATATATATATATATATATATTTAGAATTTTAAATTTTATCAAAAATAAATGCAAAGTTTATATATATGTAAATTTACATATAAATTTTGCATTACTTTTTTGATAAAATTTTAAATTCTAAATTTTTTACAGCTGACTCGAATGAATATTTTGTTGTTAACAAGAATGAATTAAATAAAGAAGAGGAAGCAGAAGCAGTAGTAATAGTAGAAAAAGTAATAGAAGAAAACATGATATCGAATAATTTAGAAACAAAGAAACCGCCTCCTAATTGGTTCATTGTGCAGGAAGTAATAAATCGACAAATAGGTAGTAATCCATTATTCCAAAGAAGATTTTATAGTTCTTTACATGCAGTAAATCGACTGGAGTTTAAGTACAAACTCCATGACATTGAGGTAAATTATTTATTTTGATACATGTTGACTTATTATATTCAATGTTTTATAGATTACTTTTGGATCATTATTATAGATCTTTTAAATCATGTATAGCTATACGTATTAAAATTTCGTTATTATTTACAGGATGTGAGTGCCTTAAGTTTCAATCAAAACGGAAACTTATTAGCAAGTGCCGCTTTAAACAAAGTTTCTATTTGGGATTGGGCTGCAAGGAAAAAGCGTTGTTGCCTTCCAAGTGGCATACTAACCGAGGTATGTATAATATTTATATTATATAATAAAGTATTGCTATTTGAATGTTTTGGGTAAAACTTTACAATAACTACGTCACCTCAAAAAAAATATTCAGGACATGTTTTCGACGTATTTTTGCCTCCTGATTACGAATATGATAATAAAATTTGGCGGTCGGACAAATTGAAGTCGCAATCTTGAAAAAACTGTTCAAAAACACGATTTTTTCCAGTTTTTTGCATTTATTTCAAAAAATGCGCATCAGACAAAAAAATGTTTCAAACAAAAAATAAAGAACATCAAATTCTCTACAAAAAAGGCTATATTCATTTTCTGCGTAATATAAATGGTAAGCCCGTTTTATTCAATCTGGTGCACCACCATCTTCATGTTCATCAAAAATGTGGTCAGCAACCATATCTTTCTGAAATTCTTTCATTATTTTAAAGAACTCATAGATGCGTTCTCTGTGTGGATGTGCACGTTTGAGAATGTCGCATCGCGTTACGGAGCACGAATGTGTTTACATAGGTTTTGACTTTCCACGCGAAGCGACATTCACCCCCCCCCT